TGATTCTGTGATTCTATGAGAACAGGGAAATCCCAGAAGATACAAATTGGAGGAGGGGGTGATGGTGCCCTGCGCAGCGCGGGCAGCAGACACTGGGGTAAAGCCCAGCTCCATCGGTAGAGTGCTGACGTGGTCCCACAGAGACCTCACTCTTGGTTCAGCCTCGATGGAGAGGGGGGACTTCTCCCCAGGTTTTGAAGGTGCTGCCGTGATTTCTTCTTCAGCTGCACGTTAGCATAACCTTACATTCCAAAAGCAAAGCTGTGGCTTTTCTGCTTGCAATTCCCTTCCAGTTTGCTCCTGGCCTCACTTGACCGGGGTTGACTCCGCTGAGGAAGGTTAGCAGCAAAGACCTGCCTGAGCTTTCAGGAGATGCCTCCATGGCTGGACGCTCTAAAACGGGCACGACTGGGTGCAGTCTCAGGCGCGCAGGACTGTTTGTGTCTGTCACTTTGTATTTCAGCCTTGGAGCGCGGAACAAAGGAATGAAGGGACGCAGGGTGGGGTGGGGGTGATCTGAGTGTGTGTGAGGGAGGGGAGGGTCTTCTTGCATTTGGTCCCAAAGCCCTGAAGCAGTCTAGTCTTGTTTTGCGGCTGCAAATAATCCTCTGGGACAGGTAGGAAGACCCATCCACACGTGGGCCGTGCTATTTGCAGCATCTCTGGACTCCAGGAGGGTTTGTGTAGGGCTTCGTTTAAAAAGTAGGTATCCGTCCAGCGGCTCTGGGTGGCTGGTGTTGGGTGAGCAGGACTTGGCCTTGGCCGGCCCGCGCGTTGCTCTTCCGCTGTTAGCGCAGGACGCGTCTTGCCGCACCTCAGATGCCGCCCGCCCGCCCTGCCCGCTCGGCGGTGAACTCGGGCATGGCACTCAGCAGGGCAGAGGTAATGAGAGCATCTCTCAGCCCCGGGAGCTGATGTTGATGGGTCTCGCATGAAATGCCTTTTTAAATGTCTCCATAGAGTTGTTCAGCCGTAGGAAAAAATGCCTTTCCAAGCGAGAAAGGCATCTGCTGGGCCGCTGCAGGGACGGCTGAGCGCCGCTGGCTCTGCAGCGCCGCGGTCCTGGGGAAGGAGGGGTGCCGGTGCGCCAGAACGCGCGTTGTCAGACCCAGATCAATAGCCGGCAGAACTGTGGGTCCATGTCATTTCCCAGCGCTTTGATCAGCCTGTTTAATAAGCCTGTGTTTGACACTAGACATCCATCCTGGGCCCTCCCAGGGGACGCCGGCAAACAGATTGCCGGTGGAGCCTGTACGTGTGCGCATCTTCCTGCGGAGTCATCGCCGTCTCCAGGCGCCCGGCGCTCTCTGGGCACTCGCCGTGGTTTGGTGAGCGCCTGACGCTGCCTGTCGGCAAAGCCCCGCGCGGGGGGGTTAGGCGAAGCCCCGGGCGAAATCCGTTCCAGCCGCACTTGTCCCTCAAACTGGGCTGAAGGGAAAACTTCAGTGAGTTGTTTGGTTTCTCCACAATCCGCAAGAAACCTGCAAGGAGAACGTCAGCCTGTTCGGCTGCATAGCAAAGCAATTATCCTGCCTGGAGAAGGTGCCGCCCGCTTCCTCGTTAGGTGTCGCATGTCTGATGAGGCCGTTCTCCTGAAGGCCGGGTGGGGATGGTCTCTGCCTTAAAGTATATTGCCTGAGGCGTTCTACAGCCCATCCTTCCATCCAGCCCATTGATTAACCATGGTGGCTGGACCGATGAGCACGCTGGAGAGAAGGAGGGGGGACTGGTGCGCTGAGCTTGCAGAGAGACCCCACGTCCGGCGCGCTGTCGGCAGCGCTCTCCCCAGCGACACCGCGATAGCCCGCGCTCTGTCGAGGCTCGGCTGGGGCTGCTGGCCCCATAGGCAAACTGGTCACCTGAAACGGTTTCAGAGCCGTTTGGCCGGGGCAGCACTGCCAGACGCATCGCTGTGCGGTGTACAGCCACGCTGACCTTCAAGCTGTTAAACCACAGACGAGCTGTTTACTCCCACAGGCTTAACTGGAGCATCTCTGTACGAACGGGCTCTTGGCAGCTCCTGGTCCGTGCGGTTACCGCCATGCCATCAGCCGGTCACTCCTCTGCTGGGAAAGTCACCGCTCTGGTAACGGCGATCGTGCCGGCACAGACCTGGAAGCAGGGTGCAACCTCGGTGCACGCTGAGGTTTTCCAGCATTAGCATCGATTTGTTTGCATTCAGGGTATCGTGTAGCAGAGCCGGATCCTGGCGCGTCCAGAGCAAAGGCCTTGCGAGCACAGCGGTCCGAGCCCTTTCTCCTCCTCTGTTTTTATGAATGAGCAAAGTGCTCCAAGAAATCCTAATCCAGGCTGCTAGCTTGGCACGTCAGTGCAGACTGCTTGCTGTCCGTGGCACAGAGCTGCACGTTCCCGTTTCATCGCCAATCTAGTAAAGTCTCTTTAGGCTGTTGGTTGGTCAGATAAGTGAGTACAAGACAAGTTATTCTGCCTGACTAGTCCCTCTCAGGTGATTTCAGGGAGACCCTGGATCTACTTTAGCAGGCACAAGTTAACTCTCCTTTGAAGTACGTACATCTTCGCACATCCACGGTTCATGTTAACTTCCATCAAGCTAGTCTTTTTGTTCAGGTTAGCTGAACTTCTAATAGACTTCACCGACTTCAATTGTTTTTCTTCTGTTTTGCAAAAATAAAATTGTACCTCTCTACAGTCAGCAGAACTGACGACTCTGCAGACAGAAAAGCTGTACCGCTGGCTGCTGCGTTGTGTCAAAAGACATCTGGGTTCCCTAATCTCCTGTCTGCTTAGGCAGAAGTAGAACGCGGCACTGGTTTCCTCTCGGGAAACGTTTCTGCTGTGGAGCAGGGCCATGGACGCAGCAGGAGACCGGCCGCTGTGACGTGAGCTCCGAGTTCTCCTGCTGCTTCGGTAACGACTTTGCTCCGTTGCAGCTGCCGTGGAAGCCTGTGTCTTGTACGGCTTGAAGCGGAGGGCGGCAGGATTCCTGCGCAGCAACAAGATAGCAGCGCTGTTTATGAAGGTCGGAAAGAGCTTTCCTCTGGCAGAGGAGCTTTGCAAGAAGGTGCAAGACCTGGAGCAGCTTATCGAGAACGCGTAAGGCACCAGCATTGCTGTTGTCCCCCAGGTTGCTTGTGTTTTGGTGTGGGTGTGTGGTTTGGGTATGGCCGTGGATCGCAGTGTCCAGCTGGAGCCTCTGCAGGAGGAACTGCTCTTGCAGTGGAGCTGAGTCCTGCCCTGGGCTTTTGATATCTTGGCCGAACAGGTTGCTTTTCTAGGAGACTGTGAATTGCAGTTGTGATTTAAGCTGGAATGGACAAGTTCTTAGGTCCTCTGCCCCTTGTCTCACGCTTCAGGGGCAGCTAAGCATGTGTGCTCCTGAACTGCCACAGTTTATGGAGCAGTGCACTAAGCCAACTGGAACCAAATTCGGTCTGCCTCAATGTGCAGGGCTTGAACCTGCAGTAATTCAACTTCTGCTTGAGAGTGGCTTAGTCATCCTTGGACAGGAACCAGGGAGACGGATGGTGCCGCTACCTGGGGGCAGGAATCTTTATGCTGTCCTAAGATATGCCTCTTTGCTTGCAAACTGGTGTCCTCGGGCACCAGTGGAAAAGGTGTGTGGGTTGGAGGACTCTGCTGAGGCAGAGGCTTCTTCTAGGGTGCCTTTGTAGCGGGAAACCCATGTACTGAAGTCAGTTTTCAAATGCAGATGTGGGCCTTCTGGAGCGGGGGGTGGAATAGATGAAGGGAGCAGTCTCCAGAGCTCTGTCCCCACGCGGTTCCCTGGGCATCCCCCAGCCACCGCAGTCAGCACCACTGAAAGCCCCACGAGGTGCCGTGAGTGCCCTGGGCTCCTGCCACGCTCAGCGATGAGCCAGGGGTGTTGTTGTCTTTTCCTTGTACCTCTAAAGACGAAATCAAGTCCAGGGCATCCCGGAGAACGTGCGCAAGATGCCGAAGCTGCCCAACCTGTCTCCCCAAGCCATCAAGCACCTCTGGATCCGCACAGCCCTCTTTGAAAAGGTCTTGGATAAAATCGTGCATTACTTGGTAGAAAACAGCAGGTGAGTGCTGGCACAGGCCAACCAATTCCCCGTCCCAACTCACTACCAGCATCCGCCCCTTCCAGTGGTCCTGGAGGTGTTGCTGGCTGAGCTGTGTCCGAGCGGGCCAGAGAAGTCCCTGGATGGGACAGGCCAGTTGCGTTGCTCTGGCACAGGCACTCTGACCGATTCCCTGCTGCTGGTGGCCACTGTACGCTCTCTAAAATAAAGACAGGCCACACTTGCTCCGCCGACAGCTGGGTTGTTGGGGACCGCATCGTCCCTGTCTTCTGAAAACTGCGTGCTGAGGTGTCCTGTCCCGGGGAGGTGTCATCTCCAGTCCTCGGGATGTTTTGTTAGGAGGTGGTGGTGCCGGCAATGTGCTGCGGGAGGGCGTCTGTTCCCCGCAAATTGCACGGCTAGCAGCAACAGCCCGTTCAGGGTGGCTTGCCCTCTCGCTGACAAGGAGTGATACAGAAAGGGGAGGGCATGTCAGTGATTTAAAAGCACTGTCTCTATCATTTTGCAGTCCCAGGCGCTGAATTGCCACAGCGTTCTGCTCTCTTTTGTTTCTTCTAGTAAGTACTATGAGAAAGAAGCGCTCCTGATGGATCCTGTGGATGGGCCAATTCTTGCGTCTTTACTGGGTAACGCTTTCCTCTTACCCCACTTTGACAGCTTGCTTTCCAAACCTGTGTTCCCAGTTCTGTGATCTGGGATGTGAAATGCAGTTGTTTTCTAGTAGGAACTTCAGAAAACTTCGCAGCCCTGGACAGGTAGCCCTGTGGAGCCCTGATAAAGCCCGCAGGATGCGCAGCCGCTGAGCAGTGCGTGGAGGTGGAGAGCTGCAAGGCTGAGCTCGAGGGCTCGCTTCGCTCGCGCAGGCTTCAGTAATGCTGACGGGCATAAAGCAGGGCTGAGGCCGGCGCCCGGGAGCGGCGCGGTGCTGCGCCGCAGGGCTCGGCGCGGACGTGCCCGGTCAGGCAGGGGTTATTGCTCGCTGCCAGGGCCGGCTGACCCCTCTGAATTCTTTGCTGCTGTCACACACTGCAGCGACGTATGCTGAGCCTGCTGCCTGCCGTCCCACCGCCCCCGCTCTGAGGTGCTGGGCTCCGAGAGGTGACCGCGGTCGCTGGAGCAGCACCGACGACTTCCTAATGTTTGTGATTGTCTTCTCTGCGCAGTGGGGCCCTGTGCACTAGAGTACACGAAGATGAAGACTGCTGATCACTTCTGGACAGACCCCTCCGCTGACGAGCTGGTTCAGAGGCACCGGATCCACAGCTCGCACTGTCGCCAGGACTCGCCCACCAAGCGCCCGGCGCTCTGCGTGAGTGGGGGGACGGCAGGCTGGGAGGGAGAGCCAGGGCTTGAGGCTCCGTCTGTTTGGAAGGGGCTGTGAAGCCCTCCGATGAGAGAAGGTAGAAAAGTGCCGTTACCTGAAGTCTTCAAGCCAGAAGTGCTGGGGACAGGGGCCGTGGAGACTGCAGGCGTGCTGCAGCAGAGCGGCACCGCATCGCGGGGCTCTGCCCTTTTAGAACATCATGTATGAACAAAAAGCAAAGGCAGCTGGAATCTGCTCTGTTCATTGCAAACAAAGCACGCTCCTGGGGCTTCTCGAAGTACAGAATCGCGCTTGGCCGGAGCCAGGAGTCCTCTTAGGGGACACAAAGGGAAATATTTGTAGTAGTGACTTTCTTAAGTGTGTAAGTGAGGAGGAAATGACCTTTCAAGAGAAGCTTTTTGAAAGCAGGAGGTGTCTGTGCTCACCAGATTCAGAAGAGGCATTCGAGTGGCAGTATGGATGACCGGCCATCGCTGTCTGCCAGGGACTACGTGGAGTCGCTGCACCAGAATTCCCGAGCCACGCTCCTCTACGGCAAGAACAATGTCCTGGTGCAGCCAGTAAGTACCTGCTGGGGCATCTGGGCTTCAAAATGCTGCTCTGCTCCCCGCCAGGGAATTTTGGCCCTAGTTGCTCTTTGATGGAGAAAAGGACAGGCTCATTTTTCATCTGGGAAGGCAGTGACTGGACTGTGTTTGAGGCCCTGGTGATACGGATACTCCAAGAGCTCCGCTTCTGAGTAGAAACCGGCTCCTCTCCCTGCCTTCTCTTGACCACGCGCCACAGAACCCTCCTCCTGTCCCTTTCTGCTTACTGTAGTCAAATAAATGAAGTGCAAACTGCTTAGGTGGAGCTGTTAAGCGCCTCAGCCGGGCAGCTGCTCTTTTCCAGGCTGGTGAGGGGTCCTGTTGTCTCTGCTGGGGGGTTTGCAGGGCCAGGGCAGTCTCTGCTGCGGGGCCGCTGTGGCTTTCTCGCTGTGGGCGAGAGGACGGGCTCAGGGGCAGCAGGCAGGGCTGTGTTACGGTCCAGGACTGTGCTCCAGGGCATGGCTCAGCCTCGGGTAGCCTGAGGCAGTGCTTCATGCTTCTGGTGTCTTCCAGGCTGTTCTCGCCAGCTCACTCTCTCCCTGCATTCCTCTCCTCAAGCGAGATGACATGGAGGCCATCCCGGGATATCTGTCCCTTCACCAGACTGCCGACATCATGGCGCTGAAGTGGACTCCCAACCAGCTGATGAACGGCTCCGTGGGGGATCTGGACTACGAGAAGAGGTGACTGACTCCGAGTGTGCCCTAGTGCGGGGCAGAGGGGAGGCAAGTGTTCCCCAGGTTCAGAGTGTGGATCCGGTGTCCAAGGCCATCAGTGAGTTTTCCCACTGACTGCAGAGCGAAATGATTATCCTCGAGTCTGTAGCAGGGGAGGGACGGGGAAGGAGAGGTGGGCTGCGGGAGGTGCGGCGGGATGCTGTGCTATTGCCCGTCTCCGCTGGGAAGCGTTCGGCAAGGGAACCGGGGGTGCTTGTTCGGAAAGTAGCGAAGTGGTTTCATTATTGCCCTCAGGGATTTTCTCAGGAGAATGCCCTCTCTACACACTACCCAGTGCTTTCGGGTTTATCATGCTTATTTTAATCTGGGGAACTGAGGAACCCATACACACCAGAAGAGTGTCAGCAGAGAGGGGGAACGCGAGCGGTTCCCAGATAACCGTACCTTGGTAGCAGAGCGCCTGCCATTTTGTAGTGCTGTTTGGGTACAGCCTGCAGCTGAGCCGACGTGCAGGTATTTAAAGTCCCTCAGATTTAAGGGAGTCCCTGGAGCGTGTTCCTCAGGGGCCCGAAGCCTGCTGAGTTTGCTTGGCAGGGTGTGCTGCCGTGCCCTTTTGCCTGGGATTGCCTTGCGGACTACTGGCATTTCTCTTGATAGCTGCCGTCCTTTTAACAAAGTACAGAATCACGCCAGGTCCCAAGTTGCCCGAGAAACAAAACGAAGCAAACAAAATCCCCTTCCACCAGCAAATGCTCCAGGAAAGCTGGAGTGTTCAGGACGCTGATTCTTTGACCTAGAGTAAAGATCATCTTCAGCAAAACTTGTTCTCAGTTTTGTTTATTCTCAGTTGTAGTTTTCTTGGGTTTTGTTTACCTGTGTTCTTTTCGTCTCCCCTTTCTTCTTGGCCCCTGGGCCATTCCCTTATGCCTGGTACCCTCCCCCTAAAATTCTATTTTCATCTCTACGCTACTTTTCTGAGTTCTTGACTTGGGCATCAGCCTAAGCTCTAAAACTTCCCAGTGTCAAGACGTGACCAAGGAAGAGAGGAGTCAGATGCCAAAGTAAGTATGAATATACAAGGAGAATATACTTATGCACCCCTCCCCGTCCTTAACTGTCTTCATAAGCTGTTTTATAAAGCTTTTATTTTAAGCGCTATTTTTGAGAAGTGGCAGACAACACTGCTCAGATTCGGGAAATTTGCTTTGTTGCAAAGAAGTGGGATGTTACTAAATGCTGACACCCTCACAGAGTGGTGCTCTCGCTCGGCTCTCCACAGAAACGAAACCCCGCGTGAGGCCGCGTCTCTCCTGGTGAGATCCCCTTCCCCGCCTTCCTCCTGCATCTCCCTGGCCCTCTGCCCTGCCTGCTGACCAGCAGCTCTCCCGGCGTTTCCTAGATTTGCGCAGTCACCTGGAGGTGCCTGTGCCGAGGGAGCGCGGATCTCAAGCAGAAGCATCCGGGACCAAATCTATTTTCAGCTTTGAAAAAACCCCACGAATTGCGAGGGTTTCTTTTCCCCCTCCCCTGGGGACAGGAGCTCAGCAGAGCAGCAGCCCAGGCTCGCGCTGCAACTTCCCTTGGGGCGCTGGGGCTGCTCCTGCCATGTGGGCGCTGGCTCCTGCCATGTTCATGGGGTTCTCCCAGCACCCCAGCAGGGCGAGGACTCCTTTCCGGGGTGCCCAGGGGAGACTGCTCAGCTCTGCAGGGCTCCGCGTCCCTCCTGCTATTGCCAGCATCCACAGGCACGTTGTCCGTGTCTGGGAACGATGTGAGGATAGAGAAACAGCCCGGGGCAGGCGGGGCTGGGCTCGCCCTGATCGAGCTGTAGTGGCAGGGACAGTTACTGGTTCTGGAGGGACGTTGTCACTGGCCCCGTGGCACTCAGTGACTGACTTCGTGGCAGTCGCGCTGCTGCTGGGACCTCATCCTCTCTGCAGCTTCCCCTGGCGCCAGGGTAGCTGGAGGCAGGATCTGGAGCTGAAGTGAACAGAAGCAGAGCCTCTTGCATCCCTGAAGCTCACTGCTTCCTCTCTGTCTCTGTTCCAGCGTGTACTGGGACTACGCCATGACTATTCGCCTGGAGGAGATCGTCTATTTGCACTGTCACCAGCAAGGTAAGGCCAGAGTGAGGGGCTGCTGGAGGGTGTCATCACCCTGACCTTTGCTTCGTTCGATCTTTGGGGAGTGCCCGTGTTGGGAGGGTTTTGATTCAGCTCCAGGGCAGATGTCCAGAGCTCTGGGTGGTCACTCCTATGTGAGTGCTTCTAGGAAAACCTTTAAGCCAGCTCCCGGCTGTGGTGCTTGGCTGGGGAGCGCTCCCTGCAGAGCGGTGCTCTGTGGTTTTCGTGGGCGCGATCTCCCAGGCGAGCCTTCTCCAGGACCCCAGGCTTGTAACAGACTCGGGGAAGAATCCAAACAAGGAAGAAATCCTTTGTTTTGCACACCAAAAAGACAATTCCCTGAGCTTTCTTGCCTGTCCTCTGCATTTTTGACTGATAAGGTTTCCCTCATTCATCTGTGTGTCTTCTCTCTGCTGTCACTGCTGCTAATAGTAGACAGCGGTGGAACGGTTGTGTTGGTGAGCCAGGATGGGATTCAGAGGCCCCCGCTGCGGTTCCCCAGGGGAGGGCACTTACTGCAGTTCCTGTCGTGCCTGGAGAACGGCCTCCTGCCCCATGGCCAGCTGGATCCACCCCTCTGGTCGCAGCGAGGAAAGGTAGGCACCCCAAAACTGGGCTTGTTCCTGAGCCCACAGCGCTGCGGGTCCTTGCTGGTGTTCCCTTGTGGGGTGTCTCAGAGCAGAGCTGATGGGGGGAACCCTGCCTGACATTAGGGGCTGCTGCATTTTAAACAATCCCTCTCCTGAAACTAAGAAGGGAGGTGGGCTTGAAATATGGCAGTTTGGTTTAGCTCATGGCCTTGACCAGCTAAACAGACCCTTCTGGGCAAAGCAAGGGAGGTGGTATGGGGGTGCTGGCATGGTGGGTTCGGTTCTCACGGACCTGGCCGTGCTGCGTGGGTTATACGTACCCTGTGCGCAAACAGGGCTACGTACTCGCCCCGTAATCGGAAGCGTGACCCAAAGGCTGCTCCAGCACAGGGAACATGCGAGCATCATCCGGGCTGACGAAGCACGTGTTCTTGTTAGGCAGGAGTTCGGCAAGCAAGGCAGCGGCCATGCCGGCCTGCGTGGTCGAGCGCGGGGCGGCTTGTGAACGCGTTTTGTTCACCTAGGGGAAGGTGTTTCCCAGGCTGAGGAAGCGAAGTCCCCAGGGCTCCTCCGAGTCTGCATCCGACAAGGAAGAGGAGGAAGCCACCGATTATGTTTTCAGGATCATCTACCCAGGGACACAGTCTGAATTCGGTGAGTGCGTTGGCAGAGTGTTTCAGGTGGGTTATCACGGGGTGTTTGGGCACCTGGGGACGCAGCACTGACAGGCACGTGGCAATTCGTGCCAGGAAATGGTTCCAGAGACCCATGGGCTTTGCTTGTAACAGTACTGCCTTTTATTCAGCCTCAGGTATGGGTTGGGGGTTTATTTTTTTTATTTTAACTTTTCACTTGCTACTGAGTCCTTCATTTCTGCAGCTGCACAACAGGCCATGACTGCCTTAATGGTTGGAAAAAAATTCTTGCACGTAATTTCAGTAGTAAAGTTTACTTTGGTCATGTTCCTTGGGGGTCCCTTTTTACCATCGCAAGCCTCCAGGGCTGATTCTTCTCTCGCTATTGCCAGGCCAAGTCAGCAAGTGCTGCATTAAATCCAGCCGTGTTCCTTCAGCGTTGCTTCTGCAGCACAAAGGAGACGTTACAGCACCCTTTTCTGTGTACTGCCAGGTTTGACCCATGTGGCTTCACTCCCTAGCTCGCAGGGCAAGGGGGAGGGTGCTGCTGGATTCACCAAACCAGAAATCTCTCTTGGTGTCTGGTTGTGAATGATCTGAACAATGTGCTTGGCTGAAGTGACTGTTCGTTTGTCCTCACTCTTCTGTGGGACACTAAGCACAACTTTTTGACGTCTGGGAACATTGTAGATGACTTTATAAGGGGGAAACCAAGAGTGCAATAGAAGACTTGTGCTTTTAAAAAACTGAAATTTGATCAACAGCTTGCTCCTGTATTTTTGAGGCTAGAAGGGGGCAATCGCATTTCCTGTGACTCCTCCGTAACATCAGTTAAGATTATGCTTAGTTCTCCCTGCCTTTAGATGACTAACGCAATTCAGTGAGTCAGATAAAAATCTGATTGAAGCTAAAATAGCAGATAGAGATGCTCCTTTCTGTAGCTTCCTTTTGATCTACTCCTTAAAATTCCATGCTGGGGGCCAAATTTTCTGTGAAACGAATTGCTGCAATCTCCTCAGCTGGCATCATCGAGGTCTGTGCGGTTCCTGTGGACATTCCCAGAGGGGGCTGGGACTGCATCGGTTGTTTCTTCTCCACAGATTCTTCTCTTCTCTCCTTTCATTTGTGCCCTTGTCCTCTCTCTGTGTCTCTAGTTACCATTAATGGTAATTTTCACCCATTCCTTGCATCTGTGATCTCCATCACTGCTGTGAGAGGGAAGATCGCGAGGACTCCAGCCGCAAGCAAGATGGTGGTGATCCCTAAATGGTTTCTGAGGCTCCCCATCGCGTCCCGACCTCCCCTTGCCGCTCTGGGGGCCTCCCGGCGTCAGTGTAATGTGGCTGTCGTTTGTGTCTGGTACTGCTGCTTGCCCGCGTTGTCACTTGATAATTCCTGCAGCGGTGTCCCCTGTCACTGCTGACCGTCACTGACCATCAGCACCTGCTCAATATGAGGGAAATAGCAATATTTCAACATTTTTCTTGCTAGTGTCAGTTATTCAATATCACAAGCAGGGAGAGCCAGTGAGACCAAGGGCGAGTGAGGAAGCCCTTTCCCAGCTGGAAGCTGGAATTTCTACCACGATTTAATCTCCAGGGAGGAGCAAACGGGATTATTCTTCATTAATCTTTTTCTGCATCCCACAGTTCACCTTCATGATGACCCTTTCCTAGGGAGGCCCGAGGCCGCAGGGCAGGGGCTGTTCCAGGCCAGCAGCCAAGGGGCGCAGCGTGGGCGCAGCTCGGCTCTCGGGGCTGCGCGCTCCCTTGCGCTG